ATCCAACTTATAGGGAAACGAGCTTCGATACGGATGAAATGAGCTGGAGTCCTGTGTGCCCAAAGTGAAGGAAGCTGTTTAGAAACGACCGTCTGCACTGGATAATCTCAAGTTTCAACCAAAGAGATATAATAGAATATTATAAAATTGGATACAATTATAAGTGCCCAAAACGTTCTAATATATTATCGTGTACGCCGTAAAATAGAGGTTATGTTTATGATCAAAACGATAATACACCAAAAATTAGAGCCCTAAATCTAAACAGAATGCAGATGGGCTCATCAGCTGTCAGGGACCAATAGTGAGGTCATCACTTAACACAGACTTATGTTCATTTGTGTGAATGAGAACCATTCTAATCTACACCTCACCCATAAGTAATTCCCAGTATGTGAATAAAAATTCAGATATATTCGGTAATTAAAAAACTCTTAGGTGAAAATAATATTTATTTTCATCCAGTAGAAAATATTTTGAGGAAAAACGTTTTAACTTACATGGTCATTTATAAACTACGGAATACATAAATGTAGCTACTAGTTAGCAGACGCAAATTGTGAGTACGTGTACATACCTGCTGACACCTTACCAGATTATTTGGCTAAAGTTTCGAAATTTTGGTGACTTATTATGAAAGCAAAAATATTTTGTTGCTAAGGCAGTGTACTGTGGAAGTTTGGCACTCCATTAACAGACGTATATTAAGCCCAAAGTGTCCTAGAAAACCAGTAATTGACGAAGTCGTAAAAACTAAGGTTCACAAATAGGAATTCTAAAACTACCCAATATTTAATGAAAGATATGTCGGCCAGTTGTCAAAAAATTATCTCAGTGCAACCTCATAAGTCAGTCGTCGTCACTTGAAAACAAAATGAAACGGTTCAGATTTTGCTAACATGGCATGCAAAACTGAAGTCTACTGCAACCTTTTTCCACTGGACAGTTAGCTGATGCTGTTTTCAAAAACAGGGACACAAAGTCCTGAAAATTACGTAATGTTATGATCTGCAGTAAATAAAATTCGTTGGTTCTTTAGTAACTGAGAAAATAAGTGTAAAACAATTTAAATCAGTACTTTTAAATCGGTAACAGTATATGTGTAAATGATGACTTTGGCGAGCATGAGTCAGTGAAAGTCAATATTATGTAGGTAAATAAAAATTAAACATTATAATACTGAAGTCGAATGTAGCTACTGTAATACATATTCGTCACATCGAAAAAACTCGTTAAAATAAATCATTTGTTAATACATAGAGCACAGGGTTATGGACACAGTGTTAATCATATCGTTCTTACAGAATTCTCTGTACTTTGTTGCAGAAGCGCACCTCACTCCACTTATGGAATACGAACCCAGGTGCCCTCAGCGATCCGAATATTGTTGAGCAATCAGTGTCAGATAATGTAAAAGTAGAAGTCGCAGATGAAGATAATGAAGAATGTAATCACAATGCAATTAAAAACTCAGCCATCCAATCACCATTCAAAGAGAGCACAAACAGTTTTAACGTCAAATTAAAAAAGTGCAAATAGCACACAATGTCAACAACATTTTATAAATTTAAGCTAGCTGCCGTCTTGTAAATGTGTATCGTTTAGTTTTTCATTCCTCTTCTAGGTGTTTTTTTAATTTTGGTACTCCCAAATACATATTTCATTTACAAACTAGGTGCAGCACTTTCATAAATTCAATGAGTCAGTATATTTGTGTACTAAATGAATACAGTTACATCCAGCGTCTTCTTTGCATTTACTTTTATCACCATCTTAACTAAATCATGTGAACTGTTATCATCCATCGTAAAGTAACACTTTCAAATTATCTACAACCCTATCCATTCTGGTATAAGTGGTTCATATTCACTTCTTCCAAAGTATATGCTTTGTTGTTACTATAAATGATGCGTCTCAGAAATGCACAATCTTATGTGGCTTCCCTGAAGAAGATGAAGGATTTGCTTAGTATATTTGCTATATGTTGCTGCAATATTCAAAGGAAATACAATAATAATTAAGTGTAACGTTTCGTTTATATTTCCTGATATGTTATTTTCACCCAGATATTTATGTAACACTAACTTCTTCTGACTTCATATGACAAATTTTCGAGGACTGGAATATTCCTGTTGACATTATTAAAACGTAAATGACGACCATATTTTAGTTTTTATCTCTTCAGCAGCCGTTTTCTATCAAACAAAGCAAGTCGACTGCAGAGCCTAAAAATTGGTGAACAGAAAGCACTTCATTTTAGATAACAATTCAAATCTTTTGTCTTTTCGATACTTATTCATGCTTCCAATGATTTAAGCGGGCGTCTAACGATCAGTCAGGCCATAGGCTTAAAATGGTGTTCAAATGACGAAATTTGAAGTCATGCATGATTAGAAGACAAAGTTTGAAGTGAATACGTATTTTCGGTAAATTCTCGTCAGGCTTTACAATTGCATTTACTAAGCGTAGCAGAAGCTATAGCAATTTAAATGTTTAAACCTTATTTATATATTCAGAAGATGTTTGTTCGTTCCCTCTCCCTCCAATGGCTTTCAACTTCAACCCAGATACAATTACAATGAATTCCTTCACGGTCAACTTTGTCATTATCATTTTATTTTTGGCCCTTATTTTAATAATTGATTAGGAATTTTTACATTTTGATTACTTTAATGATGGATCGTGGCTAGCAGTGGAATCCAGGATGCGCATTTCGTCCTATTTGGGACTCGTCAGCTGGATGTACCTGCTTCCCAGTGAGTGATGTTGTTCCCACCGGGATTGGTATGAGACAGTAATTTTATTCTTCTCTATCTCTGCACACACAATTCACTCACATACCTACAAGGACTGACTACTGAGTATATATAAACTTCCTGAGATTTTTTTGTTATTATCACCTTTACCGTTATCTTCTAATTCATATACCCGAATTAATTTGACCATGTTGGTATCAAATGAAGACTATGCTGAATAATTTGTAAATGTAACAGCTGACGAGAATTTACCAAAGACACGTATTCGCTTCAAACTCTGTCTTCTAATTATCATAATGGGAATATTTAAGTTATGCATGATTGTCAGGAAGTATAACGCAGCTCAAAATTAGTATTCTATTCTGCAACTTACGAATGGTACAAATAGTAGTTATCTTATGAAACTCACTTTGCTTATGGGGAATGGTGATATGATATTACCATTTTAGTTATTTGCATAATTTTGCTTTTGTTATGGCTTAAATTCCAAGGATTTCAAATCACTAACTTTCTACTGCACATAAACATAGAATGCTTCTTATTTCACTAGTTTTCAATACTTTTTTCATGTGCACCAGTGACTAAAATGTTAAATCTATTTCATGGTAAAAAAAATCAACTATTATTTCTTTTTTTAAACAGAAAAGCTGAGAGTTAGATTCATACTTCGTATCTGGTACAATAACTTTAACTGGTGCTGAGCACGGATTTGAATATCTGTTCGCTACTACATCCACCCACAGGATAAGAAAATAACCCCCTATATCTGTTAACAGTTTCTTAGACCGTTCACAGTGAATAAATTTTATCAAAAGTGGAGGAAAAAGAAAAAGAGTTCAGTGCATTGTAGAATAGATAAAATACAAAAGTTAATAAATGAGGAAGTTTGGGGATAATCCGAGTTACAAACCTGCAGTTCAAGAAGCAAAAGTTTCATGCATACTTGAGAGATAAGTTGACAGTTCGACTCCTAGGCAGACTAGATTAAAACAGTTAGAGATAATTACTAGCCAATCTTGGTTCAAGAATATCTGACGTAGGCTCTTATGGGACTTTTAACTACCATCTGCTTCATAACTGTTTGTATATTAGTGTTTATTTTCCATATTGTTTTGCTTTCAGGATTCTAATGTCATCATTCAAGCGTTGAACATGCCAGGACGATTTTTACACCCTCAGCAATCTGATATATTTCTGTAGTGTTAGTACAGACTCTCAGCTTGGTAGTTGTCCGACGACGAGAATACCGTTTCCTGCCTGTTTGTTCTTAGTGGTTCATCAATCGATATCAGTCCTACTTTTTACAGCAAATATGAGTTTTGAGAAATTTAGCTGGCTTCCAGGTGACTGTTATGCAACCGTCAAGTCACCACCTAGCTAGTTTAAAAACCTTAGTAATTGACAGAATATTGCTGAGTCTCTTCTTCATTCTCATTTAAGTTCGTATGTCCACCTTGCACTTGAGTCACAGGTTGGTTTTTCTCATCCCATACTGAGCGTGTGTCATTTTCCTTCCTACTAATTAATTGTACATTGCAGTCAATAGCATGCAGTAGTGTACTCAACTCCATTATTAACATAGCATTGTCGAAGTTAATTTGAATTTTTGAAAAATATTCGGTTCATTGCACTACTTTTAAGTATCCATAGGGTAATGGATACCAGTTGAGCGTAAATGAACTAAAACCATAGACAGGTGGTATGTTCCTAGGATACATCCCTTGAGATTAAGAAGATCCATGCCATGGACACACATATACACAATTATCTTTAAACTGTGACGTATATATCTCTAAGGTTCCGTAATCCTGCTAAGCCCAACATTTCATACACAGCTTGTCCATCCAGTTTCTTATTCTTCGGGAACTTCTGGTTTATATTCAAAACCTTAAAAAAGCGAAAATCCCAACAACTATAAACACTAAATGTGATAAAAAAAAAAGCGTCAAACAACAAGCGTGTACAGTGCAAGTTTTATATATAAATCATTTATAACATATCATTGTGAGAAAGGCATACACATACACACTTTAATGTCGATACAACTAGTAACCACAAGCAACACTCAGTTACACAGTTTTTATGTACACATAAATCAGCTGGTATCTTCCGTATAAGCACTACTTCGAGAAAGCCATAAGCCAGATTCTAAGCCTCATGATGCACGAAGGTTGACGAATATTTAATTGAAATCACATTAAACTTTTTGCCTATGCTATTTTCTAGAGCATTTGTTTGAGATCATCAGCTTTGCATGTACAATTCTGTGTTGATACTTAGATTATACCTGAAAATACGACATGTGATTGTTTATGTGAAATATCTACATCAATTAAACGACAAATAACGTGTATATGTTTGGAGCTTTTCACAGAAGCGAAATTTGAAAATAAGAACGATGGAAAAAATAGCCTGCAAAAAGATGTAATGCTTTAAACACTTATTATTATCATCAGAAAAGCAGTTTAAAAGTTACATCTTTCTCATCCATTACACAAATACAACCGAAATTTCCAACATTCAAAAAGTTATCCTGATTATTGCTGAAAACAGTATCCAGTGTTACCAAACGAAATTGCATAAGAGGCAGACATCAAATTATAATACATCCCCGTTATTTAAAATCCATCAGTGAAAAGTAAAGAAAGACCACTAACATGGTCGTCGAAAAGAGGTTGTATGTATTTAGAAGTTCGTGAATAGACTGAGATTTGTTGGCTAACGAGTTAGTGGAGACTGAAAAGCAGTAATGCAACATGACGTAACAACGTACCAAACTGTTTAGGTGTTTGACCAAGCATGCGAAACATTTTCTTGTAGGCACGCATCTTGAATTTCCTAAGTTACTCATCTTGATCGGTTGAGTAATCTAGAGAAGAATTCAGCTATGACAAGGCATGCGATAATACATAACCACAAAATAGGGTGAAACAGAGCTACATTTCTGAAGATTAGTGTAGTTAGATAGAGATACAGCCTGATCACTGAATCTTTTCTCATCAATTCACCACCTAATACTTGTGGTCAGAATGACGCAACATCTATTCCTAACGTGTAGAAAATTTTGCTACCAACTAAATCGATGAATGAAAAACAGTAGAACCATCAGAACCAGAAAGTTGTATAATTACCTTGGTATTATTTGGAGCAATAAATTCTGCTCGAAGTGTCAGCTAGTAAACTAGACTACATCATTATGTGCAATATCAAAGAGAATAATCTAGTATGGAACTACATTCTATCACAGTGCTCAAATTCTGTACTTATATTATTGTGGATTAGTTCCTCTTATTTTTCTCTGACTTTACTGAACCCTTAGAGTTTACAACACATGTATCATATCATTCACATTATCCAGTGCACCTATGTGCCATTCGTTCTCATTCATGGCTGAACTCTAATTCAACTTCACAATGTTTACTTTGTTTATTTACGCACCTCTGAGACGATGTGATTGAAAGCGTAGCAAACACCTAAATATCTGACAATTCAAGGTTTGTAATCCTGTTGCAATCTTTATTGTTTAGTAGTATAATACCACGTTCTAGACCAGACTCGTAATTTGACTCTGAAATTTCACGTGTAACTCCAGTATTTGATTCTGGATAAATGATGCTCTAAGTAATCGTTTAATTTTTGTAATTAGTGGTTGAATTCAACAGTCAATATTCACTCAAACATTATCTAAGCAATAAGTAACTGAAGCAAAATATACATGGCTTCTAGAAGCGATTAACAACAGGTTGTTCGCGCAATGTATTGTATCATCCTTTTCACCTAAGTGGTTGAAATTCAAGTAAAAATTACCACACCGTAGGTAAATGAATTCCTCCAGTTTCTAAAGGATAGCAAGGGTGAGACTGATGTTGTGCTGAAATAAATACATTGCTAAGATTTTTGGTTGATGTAATTCAGAATTTAAATGTATATTTTCTAATTGTGTTTGACACTTTTGTTCCAAGACAATCACTTATTTTAAAATATTATGCAATACAGAGATTTAGTTACTTGATGTAGAGTGATTAACTTTGGCTTCGTATCTTAGTACAAAAGCAAGAGTTCAGAGTCACATCTGCAAATAAGACTTACATTCTAAACCGAGTAAAAAGTAATAAAAATTCCAAGTAATACTGACACAAAATAACTGAGTTTAATCGAAAGTATAAAACTTTGCATGTTAGCGCTATATACAAAGTATGTACAGAAACAATTAATGAAGTTTAGTACCATGGTAGGGTTGCATAACAGTGAGCAACTTGCTCTACTGTAGCGACACAATCCATTAACATATCAGTTGTCAAACCATATTTTTCATATTGATGAATGTAAGCTCTAGAGCCAAATAACTCCCATGCTCGAAGAGACACACATCTCAGACTAGCTGCTGTGTCACCTGATGATGCGGCGGATGTCAATAATTCTTTGTGGTCGTCGTCAACAGTAGAACGAATATCTAAACGTGGTCCACCACCATTGGAAGCCACAAATAAACTACGTGGGTAGTCATCAAAGTAACGAGGATGTCCACGAACAGCCGAACCAAATGAATTAGGAACAGGAGCTGGTGAAGGGCCACAAACTAAAAGATCCTTGGTTAAAGAATCAACAAAGTGATTTGCTTCGCGGATCTGATCACTTGCACCTTCACCCCGTAGCATACACAAATAAGACAGTAATGGAAGACGTGAATTTTCAATTCTGGTTTTGAACCCAGTTCCTGAAGCACTGACAGACCAATCAAGTTCTAAATGAGAATTAAGAAAGTAGTTAGATAATAATAGTAATAACTTTTATCTAGATACATAAAACTGTTATTAGAGTAGCTACTTCTTAATAATTTTCGGCTATCAGCAATGAAGCAATGTTCTCAAGAGAGATTGGTTCTCATGTCAGTGAGAGTGCAATAAATTAATCCCTCGTATATATTCAGAGTTTAGAATCTGAAGGGTAAAAATCCTAGTTAACTTCTTTGAATGACAAAGAAGAGGTTTAAAAAAAAAATAACAATTGCTCATTGGCATCAAATAATTTCATAAAATCACGAGTAAATGATACTCAACAAACTAAATCAACTTAACAGAAGTTATATCTTCGATGACTTGCATAAAATAACTCCAGCTTGAGATGACGATAAAAGTAAGATTATATTATGATCGAATAGTCACAATCAATTCCAACCAACATTTTAATGAAGGAAATAAATTCTGTTGTGATTGCATGTACAATAAGAGTATGATGAAACTCGGTTACTTTAAGTAATGAGTTACACGCTACCACACTCTATTGTTGGAAGTTTCATAAATTAATAGGAATTCTCTGTACATAGTAACATACATCTGCATACTGAAATCGAGACCAAAAGGGGCGAAAAATGATTGGCTGTTTATATCAGTCTTTTGATAGAACTATTAAAATTTCAGTTTATCATTTAGTGTCAAAGAACTTGCTCTAGTGGAGTTGGTCACATAAAGCCCCACAAAGAGTATTCTATCCAAACGTATTTCTAAACACAATCCTGCATGGCTACGTAAGATAGAGTGCAAAGAGATTAACAGCTTATTTCTTTAGCATCTGATAAACTCCTGTCACTCTGCTCCACTAGAATCTTCCTTCAAAGTCATTTATAAGACGAAAACAAACATTCCGAAGACAGTGAGGATTTACCACTTATACAAAGCAGAAGCCTTGGCAATTCATGGGTTTAAGCCTGATCTATATGTTGAATCTCTAGGTTTACCCTGATTATAATCACTCTGAGACGTTTTATTGATTGATTATTCGTTTATTTATTGTAATCCCACAAACAATTTTTGATGACCTTGTATTCACTCATTATTTTGTAGTAACTATAATCACGATTGTAAAGCTTTTAAAAATAATTCGTCGAAAAGAAAAGTTTCTTTGCTGAACTGTCTTTTGTTGGTTTTTCATTATCCGATGCGACTATTTCGACAGCCGAAAACTTAACTCGTCAGGTTTCGATTTTATAAGAGTTACAACCTGAAAGAATACGAGTTTTAAAAGGATACAACTGTGAGGCACTTACATTTCAACGAACTCTAGTAGCGAATTGCATAACATGAAACACGATATATATATATATATATATATATATTGAGTGGTCACTGGGAAGAAACTAATTTCATTTTTTCTAGTCCTGAGTACTGACCAAATTCCATCGGCCATTTTGCAGTTTGACCACCAAGCTAAGATGGTCAGCGTCTCTGTGCACTTGGGTAGATGTTAGTTGGTTGGAGGCAATCGGCAGGAAGCCCATGACCTAGCTAAGTTTCATGCTTTTTGGTACTCATCAGCAAGGCGTAACTGAAAATTCAAGGTGACTGATGTCCCCCGTGAGATTCGAAACGACATCACCCCGTGTTCAATCAATCAGTTACAAATGTTCAACTACTCGAGCTACCGTTTATAAACATATAAAATAAAGCATACAAACAGTTTTTTATGCAACACATCATGCAATGAAACTTGTGAGATGAAACGATATACTACCGAAAGCATTTCATAACCCAAATACACATAAAGCGTTAGGAATATGCACATGCATGAAGAAAATTGCAGATTCATGAATACTCATTCGTGTTTAGTTCAAACATTATATGAAAACAGAGATTTCAGACTTTATACTGTTGAACAAAGAATAAAAGCATCAGTATTTATACCCCTACTTCATGACTGCCAGAACAGTATGTCTTCAGAAAACGTAAGCTTGGGTGAATGGTGTTACTTATCACAAAGAAAAAATCGAAGATATCTAACTTAGCAGATGTATGGGCTGAAAAACACTTTATGCGAGTTAAACACTACATAAAAACAGATAGACAGACTAATCGATGTTGAGCCTTACACAGAAAGGTGTCACTTCAAGTTGCCATGCTGCATAACAGCACATATAGCCAAAAGTGATTAGAAGAAGAATGATGAAATATTCAAAAGTGTAGGGGAGGAGAAAGGATAAATAAACAAAAGTTAGTAAAATTACTATATATTGATATACTTGTAATTCCTCTTCTAGCTACAACCAATTAAATTATAAAATTTAATACAATGTTTAAAATTTGTGAGATGATAAGGAGTGTATACATCTGAGCCATATCAACAACAGTCTACAACGGTCAAGAACCACAAATAGATAGTTTTGCACAACCCCTTTTTGTGAAGTTGTGGATCGTTGATTTTCAATCAATGGGTCACGAATTCGAACCCACCTCCACCTACTGTGATTTGGGAAGCCAGGTAGTGTCACTAGCCCTCACACAATGGGTGTAGTTCATTGCCTACTGTACGAACGCACACAAGGTTGCTAAGTGGATTTTGATTTCAACTGGATATCACCTTACACGGAACAGACCGACAGTCAAAGACTCCATAAATCAATGTCACGTTTTATTCTGGAACAGGTTTCTCCCAACCTGTTAATAATTAGGTAAGTTTAATTCATCCAAGTAGGCGTTCACGCAGTATACACAATCCATATCCAAGTCATCTCAGTCATTGAAGTTGCATAGTTTCATCTACTGACTTGCTTTATCTGGCTAGTATTCTACAACTACCTCAAAATTGTTCACTTTGCTGTCTTACGATATATGAAAAATGTTAATGAGATAGCTACTAAAAAATCATATAACCTTTTCATCTCTCTTACTTTCAACCAACATGTCGTAAAAACTTCATTAGTCTATTTAGTCTAAAAAGAGTAATGATTGCCTGTAAAACCTAATTATATTTCGATTCTTTTTGTTTATTATTATTTATCCCTTGGGTTCCTAGTGGGACATAGGGCTTCCGTAGCACGTCGCTATTTCACACTCTTCTCTCCAATTTTTTTAATCTGGCTCCACGACTCCCCACAAGCTTTCATTTCTTCTTCACACCATCTCTTCCATGTCACCCTCGGATGCCTAACTCGTCATTTACCAATTGACTTCCACTCGAGGGCCTGGCATGTGATGTCCTCAAATGGTCTTCTGTGTATGTAAAATCCAATCCACCTCCACTTTCTTCTGAATATTTGTTGGGCGATGGGTTGTTGGTTGGTTGGTTCGTTCCTTGTTACTTATTATTCTGGCCATCTGATCTTTAGTATCGAGTGGCAGCTGTTGGTGTATGTCTGCGGTTTGTTGTAAATGCTTTTCGTAACACGCCAAGTCTCTGAACCATATAGGAGCACTGGCTTACAAGGCATTAGCGTGGAAAATTCGTATCTTGTTCTTTATGCTGAGTGCAGTGCAGTAGATCTTCATATTTCGATTATTAAAACCACAAGGACTTCAGCAATAACAACTTTGCAACAACAAATAATCTCCGACCCATAGTTTGACTAAAAATGTAAAATATATCATGCTGAAAATTCCTACTTGTATCAAAACATTATTCGGAATAAAATGATTATTATTATTAAAGTATGATTTATTACTATTTATTGATATACTTATAATTCTCCGTTGTTTTATTCGATTGAATTGTTCGAGCTCTGTTGGCATATGGGCTCCTATGTGGATGCCATGATAATGCCTGAATGTTAGTCACGATAATTTGCTTGGTTGTGGCTATCACAAAAATCCAGGGCGCGTGTTTCGTCCTATCTGGGACTCGTCAATACAAAACGGAGAATTACAAGTGTGTCAATAAATAGTAATAACTAATACCCGTTGTACAAGAAGTGGCTACCGTGCCTCTGTGGCATAGTGAATAACGCCTTGGCGTTTGAAGTGATGGATATGAAATTAGAGTCTCAGTGGGAACGGCACCAGTCACTGTGGTGCAGGCACATCCATCTGACAAGTCCCAAATAGGACGAAGCGCGCGTCCTGGATTCTTCAGGTAGCCAAAAGCAAGCAAATTAAAGTGTGATTTGTTGAATTTTTTCTATATCTATTTTACATGATGCTTTCATCACGAACTGATAGAATTTCCACATAACTCAGTTCATAGTTTCGAAACAACTATTGAAAGATTGGGAGAGAAATTTGTATAACTCATCAGTGCATGGATTAAATAAATAAAAAAGGCAACATTGTACGAGAAATTCGTTATATATTCAGATAGGGCTAAAAATCTAATTGAAATCACCTGGGCATTTAAGTCACTATGCTGACAGCCCTACATCCCACTAGAGAGATTAATATATGAAGTAAATATATTTATCGCCCTTATATTGAAGTGACCAGTCACCATGATTAATTTTCCCTTTCAGTGGTTTTATTCTAACTGTAGTTCTATAAAAAGTAAACAGATTCCTTCATACCCTACAGGCTTGCACGATAATAACTAACCAAGAAATAAAGGATTATCAAGCGGCGTCATGCAGTCACTTATACACGAAAATACGCTAAATAGTGACTAAAATAGACAAACTTATCATCAATGTTCTTGAATAAATCCACATTTACATTAGGCTAAGTGAGTACCTTAAGCTTATATTAGCATATTACTGATTAAAAGTTATCTGCAAAGGTTTGTTACTCATCATAAAATAAAATGCAGAAGAAAGAATTTTCTGTAAGAAAGAAATACAATGTAGACTACACTACAGATATGTTGCAAAATTGTATAAAATGTACGTCTTACTATCTTCAACAGCTGAACCTGTCAATAGCATTTGTCTAGCATGACGTGCTAGTTGACTCCAAGTTTCTGTACAAAATTTGCGACTTTCCGCTGGCATATATGGTAAACAACGCAGACGTGTTAGTCGATAATCAGGATGTCCGCAAAGATCCAGTAAGTAAGAGGTTAAACGTCGTTTGTCTTTAAAATAATCTGGTTCCATTTCGTTTACAGTAGGCTGTTTAAGTATAAAATTAAACGAATATTTTTATTCTTAAGTTTATAATAGCCACTGTCATCAAGTTAGTGACTTCAAAGCATTAATTAGTTAACCATTATTAGAGACATATTGTTAGGAGACTCTTTCGCCCCATCATAAGTTACGTCGGAAACATAAACTCATCAGTATTTCGAGGATAAGAATCATGACCTATAAACTTGGATGAAAACGTGTGAACCTTTGAACTAATGAGGTAGCTAAGTGTTCGAAAACGATAGTAAACAATATTAAAGGGCTGATTAGATCACACTATATTACAACCTGACGACGCTTGGAAATGTAAGACAAGAAAATTTACGTCATCGATTTGATCAAGAATAAAGGTCGTGTACTTAACCATAAAACATGCTTTTTTAAAACGATGATACTCAACACTTTTTGATAATGTTACATTCTACCCTAAAAACGCTATTATCAACTCTACCTACAAACAACAAGAAGTATTATAACCTTCAAGAATTGAACTTTCTAAGAGTGGTTGGTTTGGATTAGGATACTGAATTTGTAGGGGGTGAGTCTCAATCGAGAATTTATCCTAAGGACTACTAAAACTTTTTAGTCATACAATCAAACGGATAAATTAGTATATACGCTTGCATAGAAAGGCAACAGTTTAAGGGGTTACACTTTGCAGCAACACTTAAAAAAGTGGATAGAAAAAGAATGATATTAAAGTAGATAAACACAATCATAAACAAAGTAAAATTCTGACACCTGAGTTTAAAATTTACTTTGTAACATTGAAATGTGATTGACAAGAAAAATAACAAAAGATTCTGAAGATTTTCTCAGCAAAAAAGTAACTAAATCCCATTTAATATCAGTGTAGGCATTGTTAGCCTTTGAAGACAAGTGATATCAATGGTTAGGAACTCTGTAGCATTCAGCTCGAAACCCATCATATTTCGTTAACGCATTAATCACTTTTTTTGTTTGTCTTTTAATCATTTGAAGTAATTTGCTTGATTTTCACTTTAATACTTTTCTCCTTCTCAATTCTTCTTCAAAATTCTAGTGTGAAGTAAAGCTACTTGCCAAGTTCCAGGTGGTTTGTATTCTGTACTATTTATTATAAGACACTTTGCAAAATACTGTTATGCTCCAGTCATTTAGTCAGCGAATTCGCATGTAAACAGGAGAAAAAAACACTAGATAGCTTTGTTCAAGAAAATATGTGATTATGTTAAAATCTTCTGGTAATGATTGACTCAGATTTACAGCCGACTTTATAACCATATTATGTAAAATATATATTTACATAACAAAAGGTGAACAGGGACTAAACTTATTTATTCAGTTAAACTGTAACTAACTAATGAGAATATGAGACAAACCTGCAAAATTCCAGCCAGTTGATAAGTAAGTAATGCATTCAAATGTTCCATTCCAATTCGGCAATTTGGATTACTAGCCAAAAGGCGATTTGAACAAATTTTGTGTAAAGTATCGTTATGATGCATGATAAAACCATCTAAACTATTTGCAGTAGACGGAGATAATAAATGTCCAAGTGTAAGAATAGCATTATAAGCTTGAACAGATACTTCACCACGTGTAAACGGCCATATAAGTTGAGAAAGGACGCATGCTTTAGGCACAATATCTGATAAATTTCTGAAAAAATGAATAATAAAAGTCAGTATGATAAACCGAACCGATAAAATTTAAAACATACAGTCGTAAACCAAGCTGATTATTATACTATGTAAGTTATCATCCTGTACGACACTGAATAGTCATACCACATCCCAGGATGCGCAACACATATCCAAATCACCTCAGTCGACAAAGGTACACAACCTCATCAATCGACTTACCTGTCTTGTTTGGTATCCCTCGCCTCAGTGACCTCAGTGTTGCTCACACAGCAATCCCACCAAACAGAAGCAATCCTATGAAAACATCTATGATCAAAACCATGTAACTGCTTGATGTCTTATACTTTTAACGGCCATGTCTCACACTCGTACAACAAGAGAGGATGAACTGAAGCCCAGTATGCTCGTCCTTCAACAGGTAGTTGGATATCATACAAGTCAGCGTCACTCATGACACATATTGGCAAATGCCAAATGTACCTTCTGTATCCAAAGCTGAGATTTCGTCAGTAACCAGCCCGTTCAGACTGTTGCAACTCTAACCAAGTGAGGTAATCGATGGACAATATCATCTGTATACTCAAAATCAACCAAATGACATCCACAGAGTGGATCAATCCATGTGAAGTCAGATATACCTAACCTTATGTCCACTAGTATGTCTATCACAAAGTTAAATAGGAAAGGTGACACTGGACATCTAAGGCCAACACCACTAGTTCACGTAAATTCTGATGACAACTCTCTATAAGCCCTGACATGGCTGCTTGAGTTCGAGTAGAGAGCTTTGATAAGAATTATATGCTTGCTAGATACCACATTCATAGTCAGACACTGCCACAACACCTCACGATCGACAGAGTCAAATGCCGCCATCAGGTCGAGAAATATGGCAAATGTCGGCCATTGGCCGGTAACTATATCAGTGTTACAGAACCTGTCGGAGGGTGAAAATGTGATCTATGTACCCTCATCCAGGTCTGAAACTGGTCTGGTTTTCTCGAGCTCCAGTTGGGCGTTGGAAAACTATGGATCCTAGGATCTGGGACACAATATTAGGCAAACTAATTCCTCTATGGTTGTCACCGGAACACTTCTTTCACTTCTTATAGACTGGAATGATCGTTGAAGTAGGACAGTCTGATGTGAGTACCTTTGATTTCCATACTGACTCTAATAAGGATTTCCTACCTTGAGGGCATATCTACCGCATCCGAAAAGAACTTAACTCACCAACATAGATAAGTACAGGTACAAAACTATTTCAGCGCAAGACTTTTAAGGCTTAACAATAGTAAAACACGTGTAGACTGTACAATAATTTACACCATACATCGTTCAGGATTTACATTTCCCTCTTGTACTTTGGAAAACAGTAATTCAGTATTTCATCTCTACTTGAACGATTATATTGCATTCTAAATCTTCACAAAATTTGTCATGTTTCAAAGCAACACTACAATTAACAGTAGATCCATTTGATTTCATAATCCGAAAAGTAAATGAACTATGATGTAAATCAGGTAGAATTTAGAATGATAATAGTACATGTCCAGCGTGAATGATGTGGCTTAATTTAAGCCAAATAATGAATTTACACAATAAAATTAATTCGTCTGACCTTTAAATATTTTCCTTAAAATTAGGGTGAGACATACGTGAGCATTTTGGTTCCCACACCAGAACCTGTTCCACCAGCTAAACTCATCGTCACCAAAAAGCCATCCAGTGAATCACAACTTTCCAATTGATTTTGAATTAAACATTGTATCTGATCTTCAAATTCATTGCCATGAACAAAGTAACCGTAAGCCCAATTGTTACCTGAAAGTGAAAATTACTAAACAGCTTAAATGAAGCGAATAGTATTTAAATAGAACACTAGTTTTAACTTAGTGCTAGTGAATTTACTAAGTAGATGGTTACAAAGGGACAAAATCATGCTTTACTACTCCTACCAAGCAAAAAGTATCTTTCCCATTACACATTTCATGATCATAGTAAATTAAAACCTTAGGATTCCAGGTTGTTATTCATCATATACTGATATCAGTTAGAGGAACAAAGGAAAACTGGCAGCACTGGACAGGTGTTTCGTACTAGTATGGATTCACTCGGTATGTGTACGATAGTCACCTGAAGTCACAACTAATATGTTTCCCTACTGCTGTCCTCGTTTTCATTTTGGTCATTTTAACATCTCTACACCTTTTTTATATCCTCTCTGGTATGCTACAAAATATGGCAACTTAAACCTTCTTATGGAAAGTTTTACATCAGTTAGTCTATCCGAATATTGTAGTTAGTGAACTGAGTTTACGCTTCTTAAAAAGAGGTACAAAGAAAAATAAGATGCATTTACATCGACATTTATACCTTCATAGATTTGTTGGATGGATTGAAAATAGTTTCCCTACAATCGTTGCACAGTATCAGTTTTCATTTGAGTAAGAATTCTTGATTATTATATTAAATACGAGTTCTGGGACAAATAAAAACTTGAGTAAAGTCACTCAGTAGTTTCAATCTCGCTTATATTTGTCGCTCACTTACACAAAGATAATTTCCATTCTCGGTTGACTAGAATTAAATCAATCAAAACTGCTTTCATAACAACTTTAGAAGCACTGGAGCAATTTCACGAGACAGGTGAGTGAGCTGCATTATAGATAGGAATATTTTTCTTTACCTCAAATTATGTTAGATGAGCCAAATAACTTCGTTGCTTGTATTCTTTGACATTATCACAAAACTTACGATGGGCACTGTGTAATTTTTGAAATACAGTTATGAAATAATTTATCTTCTGAGGGTAAACTAGTACCTGTAAACTCAATATACAGGAAAAACAAGATTGGTAACTTCGATTCCTGATTCACATGAAATCTAAAACTCAAACAGACTAATGACCCAAGTAAGGCAGTTAACTGAGAAGTGGCAATAAACATATGAAAATGTATATGCAAGAATACGGCTTTATTTGCTGTAGTTTACGCAATAACCAACAAAATCGCAGTAATTCCTTCGAATATCACACATATCCGAAAATTCGGGGAGAGTTTTATTGATCATTTAAATATGACTCAAAAATTTATTCACCTGTTAAATATCTATCTAAATTATAACAACTCATCATCAGGATATAAAAACCAGTTTTCATACCTATTTCATCTTCTTTTGCGTTTAAGTAGTTAACTTTTATTGTCTACCTTCATGATCATACGCAAATGAAGCATGTTTACGAAATCTCCTGCTCATTTTTCCAATTTTTTCATGAGAACGAATCGAACAATCACCAATACACTAACGCTTCTGACTAATATGTAAACCAAGAAAATTCATCTATGGTCTAAGCGCAGCTCAATGGACAATTAGACACCAAATTGTACAGCCCAATGCTAATCATTAACTGATCACAAATTCAGTAATTAACAAACGTAATAATTATTGTTTCCCATGTTTCTTCCTTCTGTACCGAATCGTGGGTGCTGGAAACTCAATTTAAGTTGTAGGCATTCTCCATTCATTCTCGTTGGTCCAGTTACCTAACTAACCTTGATTGTTAAATCTCAGCCATCGTATTGGCTTGCTACCTTATATACTTAAATACAATCAAGTCAAGTTATTGCAGTGTAATTACAATAAGTAAGCATTGATAACATTGAATTAAGTTGCGCATACTGTACTGGGAATCGAGTGTAGACACAAAATAATAGAAAAACCTCCATGTCAACTTACCCGAGCCACATTTAGCTGTAAAAGTGCTATTAGGAGAATAGCTCCATTTTTGTACACAGGTATTTCTACGAACATTTGCAATGACCTTTTCCTCCATATCCACTTGGACACATCTGGCTGTCAAACGCCCTTCTGAAAGAAACTAAAAGTAAAGGCGATATTTTTACTTGATGATTCACTGAAGAATGTGTTTAAGGAGTTTCGAATGTAAGCACTATCCTTTCTGGATTGAGATGACGTTTTCTTTGAGCAACAGTCATTGTATATTGTACCAAATAATTTAGCTCCAATTTGATTACCACACTGGCCAATTTGAAGCGAAACTATAGACATAATAGCTGAAAATCAAGTCAGAGAACACAAAGTAACAAAGTTGAAACACCTGGTGTAAACTAAAATCCACTAGATAACTTATTGTTCATTTGACAAAATTTTGGTGTGTATTTAACGCCTTACAGTCCTCAAGTGAAAAGCTTGTATAATTTGTCGCTGACATCTTCCAGTTTTGCCATACGTCCCATCAACTAACCAATTATCTTGCTAAAATCTCAGAAGATGTAAGGACCGACGATTAGTCATCACTTGAGCCTCTATCGATAGTTGCTTCTTTGAAGTGGTGGTCGGGCTTGTATATCGAAGTGACTCATCGAGCTATGCTGGTAGAACGCTCGCTTCCTCAAGGTCTTAACACAGTAGAAAAATCTGTTGGATAATGGTTAGACAAAAGCAGACACCATTATAGTGTAAAGTGCTACGCTATGACGGCGGTCTGAAAGTGAATTCGTAGTGCTGGGTGGATGATAGTGTGACAGCAATAAGGTGTTTCCACTGCATGACCAGCAGTACCACGCTGATGTTGCCTTCTCTATGGTTAGGAGAGGTTAGAAAATGTCAACCCCGAAAACAGCCTACTTTCATAGCCCTACGGCAGGTCGATGCCTGCGACATGGGTTCATAGTAGGATTCGAAAGCAAGAAACCGAAATCTTAACCAGCAAAAACAGCTGTGTGTGACCAGTCTCAAGCAGACGTCCCTTGGGCTCTGTGGTCACCCAATAACTTTTCTTATTCAGGTGCCTCAATAAGACCTACCCTTTAACGGTGTGGGCAGCCGGGAAGTGTCAACCGCCCTCGCAAATGTATTAGCACCCAAGCTCCAATAGATCATTGTCCACGCTCCATGTCCTTGCCTTCTAAATTTTCTTCAAAGCCTCTCAGTTAGTTATCCTACATCATCCTAATTTACTTGGTCGTGGCTAACAGAGGAATCCAGGAAGCGCGTTTTGTCCTATTTTAGACTCATCGGCTGAATGTACCTGCCACTCAGTGAGTGATGTTGATCCCAATGGGACTCGAACCTTGTACCCATCGCTCCAAACACCAAGGCGTTATGAACTAAGCCAAGGAGACACGACAACCACTTCTTTTACAACGGGTATTAGTTATCACTACCTGCTGACATGCTTGTAAGTCACCGTTGCTCTACTGGATTGAACTGTAAGTTACTATAATAAATATTCAGGCAATATTGAGGCATCCACATAGGAGCCTATATGACAGTAGAGATCGAACAATTCGATCCAGTAAAACAATGGCGAATTATAAGCATATTATTAAATAATACTATCCTACATTAAGTTTAATTTCTCGCAGCCCTGAAGCTCTTCCAAACGATCTGAGTCCACAGAACAGCGCCCTCGGTCTCCTAAAACTGAGCTTCAAACTAAACGTTGAGGCTTTTAATGTCCAGGCTCTCCATGAAGTAGGCCAACAAGCCTTGGTAACTAAAACTCTATGATATGGGGCTATGGATATGTGCTGTATTTGTGAGGCGCACACACAACCTAGGTGAGGTTATTCACTTAAACTCACTCGGCCAATTTGATGAAACCGAAAAATTCACTCTCCGAATTTCTCGAGACTCCATGACCAGTTTTCGAGGTTTCGCAGGTGCGGGTATAGCATTGAGCAGTGAGGAAGAAGGTTCTCTGCTCGACTAGATCCCAGCTGACAGTCGCCTACGCGCTGTTCGACTGAATGGCACAGTGAGGACAAAAAGGAATAGCGAAACTCACCGTTGTGTCTACGTATTCTCTGCACCCACTGATTGAAGTCCGGATGAAATAAAGGGTGAGTTATACTGAAAACGTATTAGCCTCCTAATGAAAGCCAAACTTTCAGGCGTGGTAGTTTTCGCAGATGATTTTAATGTACAAATGTGTCGGCTAAGTAAGGAAGAAAGGCACTTAGATCGCATTTTGGACCCCCAGTCGAACAAACAGATAACGGTGATCGCCAACTACAACTGTTTTCAGATAGCTACTTATTTCTAGACGGCACAAAATGACCACATTGCTATTACTCATAGTTAAAGAGTGTCGGTGGAAGGCTACCACTGCTTCTGGAGGATGTGTTTAGACAGTGACCACGCGTTAGTTCAAGCGTGTATATGTCTGCATCTAAATAGACGTCGAAAAACCTTAGTACTAAGACCACTGTGAGTGCCACCCGATAATGAGGGCGTCAGAACCGCTTTAAGTGAGAAACTGGCTTGAAAGTCATCGGAACACAACAATATCATTTATCTAGAAGATGCTCGGTTCCATCTTTTCTGCTGTAAAAACAGGGTTGAATACTATAGCCGACTTTAAGAAAGTGGTTAAAAAGGGCCAGTAGATATCAGCAGCTTCTGAATTAATGGATGCACAAGAACGCATCTCTACAGACTCCGACTACAAAGAGGAGCGAATGCAACTCAAATGTGAACTGACAAAAAGTCTACGCAACGACCGCTAACAGTGGTGGGTAGCGAACGCTGAAGAGATGGAAAAGGCAGAGACAATGAATAACAGTAGACAGTTATTCAGACTTATCAAGTAAGCTGGAGCAGAAAGGTAAATGGTTAGTGAGACTATAGCGGAGAAGGATGGGTCTGTGACTAACTCGTAAGAGAGACGAGTGAAACGGTGGGTAGAACGCAGGGCAACGGTTTAATGGTCTCTAGCTACTATTCCACTCTCCACTATATAGTCGGACCCTTAATGAAACATCCAGGTAGGACCAACAACACTTGCAGAAGTCGAAAAAAGTTGCAAGTAACCTGAAACGATGAAGACAAACAGGGTCAGATGAACTAGTTCCGGAAGTAATTCAGGACAGCAGTCAATGATTTTTTGTCAACTGAAGTATCATTTATTCTGTGCAAGTCAGATGAGACCCTTTCTGATTGGTTTTAATCGCTGGTTGTCCCAGCCTTCAGGAAAGGCGAGAAGTTCAACAGTGATAACCGCGGGAGAATCAGCCTGATAAAGTGTCTGATATTCTAGGTTTGGAAACAACAAACCTGAAAAAAACAGACAGGTTTCAAATCTGGCTGTAGATGAATCGACAAGATATTTACCCTCCGCTGACTTCTGGACCACAGATATGCTTACTGATACTCGAAACTAACTGTATTTCCCGACCTAAGGACGGGGTTCAGATTCATTGGCCGAGTGGTCTTATGGTGATGTCGCTAACTTGAATAGGTAACGAATATACAAATCACCCTGTTTAAGAATCTTCACTCAGACGCGCGCGGGCTAGTTAAAGCCAACTGCTCACCACTGAGTGAGCTGTGTACATCAAGTAGTGTCCATTATTTCGTGTGTGGAGACATAGACTTCCTGGTCGGGTCCTCGAGACAAAAAGTATGAGTGGTTGAGGACATCTGGTGACGACTGAAAATCGGTCACAACGTGCAGATGTATTCACTCCTTGACGTCTTCTGAAACTGGAATACGTGTACTAACCCTTGTCTTCAGATTCTTTATTTTATCCTACTGTTTTATCTTTGATATCACTCATTTCCTATCCACCTGTTTTTTGTGTACTATTGCAGAGTGTGGCAACTTACACGGATAGAATTGTGTGTGAGGTTCTGTGTTGCTTTTTGTCAACCAGTCATTTTACTAAACTTATGTCACTCGAAGCGAAGGGTATGAATCCTAACTAAATGCCTCGCACACACGTCCGTCCACACAAGCTGCCAAACTTCACAATAGTATACTAACAACAAATGCATAGAAAAAGATTGATACCAAAGTAGACAAAGTTGTGAGAATAAACAATCTGAAGATGAAGGTTAGTGCACGTATTCAAGCTTTAGGGGACATCAAGGAGTGAATGCATCTGCGTCATTGTGATCGACTTTCGGCCATGTTATCAAGAATTAGTCCTCAGCTACTGGTTTCTTTCGTCTTGAGGAACCCAGTTACATAGTCTGCACCTGCCTATACAACCCAGTCCAACAGTCAGGGACTTCATCGACTGCTGTCACTTCTTGGTCTAGTCACTCTGATCCCTTTTCGGACATAACCAAAATACCCACAGCATTAGGGATCGAAGAAGGTGGCAGCCTGGAATGCGCAACACATATCCAAATCACCTCAGTCGACAAAGGTGCACAACCTCATCAATCGACTTACCTGTCTTGTTTGGTATCCTTCGCCTCAGTGACCTCAGTGTTGCTCACACAGCAATCCCACCAAACAGAAGCAATCCTATGAAAACATCTATGATCAAAACCATGTAACTGCTTGATGTCTTATACTTTTAACGGCCATGTCTCACACTCGTACAACAAGAGAGGATGAACTGAAGCCCAGTATGCTCGTCCTTCAACAGGTAGTTGGATATCATACAAGTCAGCGTCACTCATGACACATATTGGCAAATGCCAAATGTACCTTCTGTATCCAAAGCTGAGATTTCGTCAGTAACCAGCCCGTTCAGACTGTTGCAACTCTAACCAAGTGAGGTAATCGATGGACAATATCATCTGTATACTCAAAATCAACCAAATGACATCCACAGAGTGGATCAATCCATGTGAAGTCAGATATACCTAACCTTATGTCCACTAGTATGTCTATCACAAAGTTAAATAGGAAAGGTGACACTGGACATCTAAGGCCAACACCACTAGTTCACGTAAATTCTGATGACAACTCTCTATAAGCCCTGACATGGCTGCTTGAGTTCGAGTAGAGAGCTTTGATAAGAATTATATGCTTGCTAGATACCACATTCATAGTCAGACACTGCCACAACACCTCACGATCGACAGAGTCAAATGCCGCCATCAGGTCGAGAAATATGGCAAATGTCGGCCATTGGCCGGTAACTATATCAGTGTTACAGAACCTGTCGGAGGGTGAAAATGTGATCTATGTACCCTCATCCAGGTCTGAAACTGGTCTGGTTTTCTCGAGCTCCAGTTGGGCGTCGGAAAACTATGGATCCTAGGATCTGGGACACAATATTAGGCAAACTAATTCCTCTATGGTTGTCATAAGATT